GGGCCCAGCCGCAACAATATGCGTCATCTTGTCCGGAAGCGACACCAAGAACTGTCGGAACAAGAACCAGATGCTTAGGTTCCAGATTTACAGCGATGATAAGGTAAAAAAATCATACGGGATCTATAAAGTTTATATATTTGATTCATAGGGTGTTTTTCAATATACTAATTGTTTGGGATTTTGGGCGAAGAAGTAAGTATACTTTTGGCTAATTAATTAATTAAAGTCGTAATATTTTTATGCCACAAGGGATAAGGATGCTTTTTGGCGGTGGACTACGTGTCCAAGTGAACAATCTTAATGATGGAGAAAGATTCTTGTTTTCTACGCATCTCTATAAACAGAACATTATACTAAAAATATGATATTGCTTACGGTTACAAATTGTATACAGCAATCAATCATTAGTTTATAATGAGATGATCAATTAAATTTAAGCGCAGAGGATGAAGGAAGTGGTCCAACAAGCAACGAAGCTAAACGAAGCCATCTCTGTGATGAAAGGAGTCCCTGTCGTCAGAGCTCAGATCTCCTTTGGTGGCTATTTCCACAATGATCTTTGAATCGCAGCCGTCCGTTAAAAATAAGTGGACGGTTCGGATCGAGTGTCTCCCACCAACTCCATGCCAATCATATATGATAGATGTGCGTATATGTATATATACACAAATTCAGGACCGTATAAATAAATTTTGTAAATTATCTATTGTTGTATCAAGACGGGGGCATATGTATGTTGTTTGATGGACGGAGAAACGTGATTGTATTGTAACGATTGAACAAGAAAAATATACTGCTTGCTTGGTTTAATCGAATTTTAAGCATGTGTGACAGTATAACTAACAAACTATAGTCCTAACAAAATTTATTTTAATCACCCATTAATGACGATGATGATGATGATGCAAAGTGAAAATAGGCAAATCGAGTTTGGAAAGTAAATAATTTTCTTGGAGGCCCTTTTGAAGATATTTTTAATACGCAATCGAGATGCTTGGGATTGATAGGGATTTGATGCGACAAGTGGTAGTAGTCATACGGACCATACACGTACACGTATTCGTATACGTATTCTATTATGCATAAATACGGGAATTAGCTAAATATGTGGAGGCAGTGTTCATGATATAGATGCATTATGATGATGTGAGTGGTCTTGTCTTGTTGACGCTTGATTTGCCAAGTGGCTATCCCCTTTGATATGCCACCACGACAAGATCTCCCAAATATCTTTTATACACGTGTATTGTGTGTATATATATATATATGTATGCATATATAATGCGCCCTTAATGAAATATGTTTAGTATCAAATTAAGGAATCACTTAGACAAATAAAAACTAATGCTAATACCATATCTTCGAAATTTTACTTTTTTTTTTTTTTAGTTTTACTTCAATTAAAATGAGTCAGACGGGCTCAGTGTGGCCCAATTATATACTTACAAAACCTAGGCATAAGACCCACAAGCCCATATTCAAGGCCCATTACGGCCCAAATGGACTATTGAAGCTTCATATTCCCATGAAGTATAAAGTTTCTCACCTCTCTTTACCGAACTTAAGCGGATGAAGCAGACTTTGCAGCTTGAAGCATCTCCACTATCAGAGTCTTCACGTCCCTGCACAGAAATTTCAAAAAAAAAAAACAAAAAAGATTCACTCAAAGCTAAGGGAAGAATATATTCATATGAAACACGCAATGAAAACGGTCAGATACAAAGGTTGTCTTACTTTCTGTCTTCTGCACGTCTGGGGAAAGGGATTCGGAGCTTGAAGGTGTTTCCTTGATAAGTTGCCTGAAAAAATGGAACCAAAAAAGAAGATGGAATTCCCGATGCACCGAGGCTGATATCGGTAAAACATCAAAAAGATTTCGAGTAACCTTAACGTTGAAACCGAGGCTGTCCAAATCCAGCATCAAGGCGGTTTCTACCTGACATTACACATAGCAGTGAGTGACAGCCGAGGGAAAAAGGGAAATGATTTCTCTCTACCATCTTAATTTGAGAAAGATCTTAATGAAGGAAAGGATAGTTACTACTTACAGGAACCGATGTTATATGCTGTGCGATGGCTCTGGTATCTTCACCATGGTCCTTATTCATGTGAGACTATACCCATATGAAAATGAGCTATCACACACATGTGTGTATATATATATGGATACTATTTGCTGCTCAAGGAAAGTAAATGAATATGGTGGCAAATACCGTTACAGGTTTAGCAAACTGAGCAATAGGGTCGGCTTTCGCTGCCCTGTACTCTTCTCTGCTGAATTCTGCGAAAAACGTGATTTGGGTTCGGTGGGGAAAAAGCAGGACAAGACGGTAAATCACGGTTCAGATAAATACGAGAGGAACACAAAGAGACGGGACGATGAAGAAGCAGAGAGGAAACCTCCGGATCCTAGTAAAGCAGTGGCAACCCCGGAAACATATCGGACAACTTTCGGTTCAATACGGATGAAGCTGAAGTCTCCAAAATCAACCTTCACAAGGCCATGAAAAAAAGGTTCAATAGAGTTGTAAAATTTGTCGAACGGCGTTTTGTTCATACTCCTATAGAAGGAAAGATGTTTACCCAGAATGCATTGGGGTGCTTGGCCAAATATGCTGACCGAACAGCAGCTTGGTCTTTCTCGGAAACCTAAATAGAACATCCGGAACATGAAAAACTAGTTGCAATGATTCTAGCACTGTGGCTGAATGAAGTGAAAATAGCAGATATAGGACTGAAAATTCAGAAAGATACACATTCCATAAGGCATGAGATAGTCATAAGAATTACCAACACTGCATCGCCATGAAGGGTGATTGATAAGTCGGTCCTATCTTCCGGGTCTTTAGAAACAAGCAATGAACATTTTGGATTAGCTAACAGATCCTGCAGACAGCAGAAAATCTCCACGATAAACTATGCAGCAAAGATGTGAAGTAAACAAATTCTGTTTAATCAGCAGCAAACCTTTGTATGAACTGCCAAGCTACTGACTGCCAGTATCGGAGATCCATCAGCATCACACGCAAAATCAACCATCGACCCTGACGGATAACCATCATACTTCTGCACCCAAATTCATGGTACATGAGATGACGTTGACGTACGAAAACCGATAATCAGAAGCCAGGGAACTCATAAGTACATGTATTAGGTTTAAGGTTGTGATAATAAGTGGTTGATTATAAAAAAATGTGTGATTATCTGAATTTTCAGTCCATCAAACCAGCATGTGCATGACATGAATCCCTATAACTGACCTGAGAAAGAGTTGAAAGCATTCCACGGACACTACGGTCAAGTAAAGTTCTGATTTCCTCAACTGGTGGAAGACGGGCAGCCTTCTCCTGGAAATCGGAAAACCCCGTTATATTCATATGTTTTATGCCCAACAAATTCAATCAGGCTGCCTTCAAATGTGTGGATGAGAATCAAATAGCATATATACAATGTCCATATAGCTTGTGTGTAAATATGCAAGTCATGTTAGTTAACCTGATGAGCTTGAATCAATTGAAAAACGTCTGTGCTATCGTTATTGACTCTCCCCTGCGGTGCAGCCTGATAACAAAAGACCATGAAATCAAGATGAAACCTGTCAATCCATATTCATGGCCATTCACTGATGCCCAAGCCAATGGTTCCACCATACTTGGATGCAGCAGAAAAAAAGTAAAGCCTTGTACAGAGTTCTATTATCTATTCTTTGATCCATGAAAGAATCATTGACAAAGATTATTTTTTATTTCAATCTGCATTAGATTCTCTTAGTAATTCACAAACCCACGATTCCTCGATTGAAACCCAGGATCCAATATGAACGCAGCCAACAAATTCAACTCAAATAAGCGGCACAGAAACAGACAAGTCACCGATGGACACTCACAGACGCTGATTTGATCGGAAACCAAAGCACGAATTCACTCGAAGAGAGAAACCAACACCGAAATCGGAGCAGGAAACCGTCGAATCACCTGGGAGGAAGACTGAGCTGCGGAGGCCATAACCAGAGGATGAAATCGGCGGCGAACGGCGGAGGAGATGGATGTTCGGCGGAGGAAGCAAGTACGGACGATTCCGGTGGCAATCAAAGGGGACGAAAGATGATGGGCCACGAGCGACTTCATTTCTTCCTTCTTCTTCCCCAAGCGACCTTCTTCGGTACGAATGCTTCGCAATACGGTTCGATTTCGGTTTTCTGGTTTTTCTGGTTTCGGGTTCCGAAAAAAAAAACATTTTTGGATATGCATTTTGACATTTATTTCGTAATTATTTTAAAAAATACAACCTTTGTGCAATTACATTGAAATTAATTCCTTAATATATCTTTGCACATCTTTGGGTTTATCAAACCTCCGGTCGAGAAATTAGAGACAGGCAAATGACACAAAGAAGCAAAAGTTGGAATCTTTTTTATTTACCCATAAGAGATCACACACTAATTAATTACATAATAATCAAAATCCAACGGAAGAAGGGAAGACGACGATCGGCGAAGATTCGTTCAATCGGAGTGAGGATCGGGAGATTCGCCGGAGTCGAAGCAGAGGTAGGAGCGGAGAGAGAAGGCGAGGCGGCGGAGATGGAGGAGAGGGAGGCAGAAGAGGAGGCGGAGGACGGTGGCTCTCGGAAGCCTCTCGGGATTGCAAGCTATGTATTGGCAGAGATCCGCCGACACGTTGGCCGTCGCCGCCACCATCCCGCTGTTCATCACCATCTTCCCTCTCTCTGAAAATTCTCGCCGGAGTTTCGTCTTTGTGAAGAAAGTTGTTCGCGAACAAGAAAAAGAGAGAAGCTTTCAGATTGGCCGCAAATGAAAAAGCTCGCTGCTTTGAAGAAAAACGCGGATCAAAACTACGTCGTTTTGACCAACGTCCCCATGAGATGGTTTGCGTATTCAATTTGCAGACTTTATGGAATTCATAATCAGACCACAGAATGAGTACCCAGAAAGAAGAAGAAAGCAAATGCATATCACTAGAGTTCATGTAGCGTTTCAGAATATTAATCGGAAACCAAAACAGCTCTCAAAAGGTCTTCACAGCAATGGAGGAGGTTCCTGGTTCAGAAGAAACCCTTTCTCTTCTAAGTAAGAGATGACCTCCTCGGCCATGGCTACAGGCGAAGGGCACTCTCCTTCTTTCTCTTTCAGCTCTATCTGATCATTTCATTCACCAGATTCACACACACACTTAAGTTCACGGGGATAATATCGTATTTCTGTCATGTTTTCTGTGCAGAAGCCTACCTCGCAATTCAATGGTGATTCATAAGGATCGTCTATTCCGGTGAAACCTGAACCACATCGTACAGAATCACTCTTTTGTTGCTCAGACGATTTCGATGAATTTTTCGAATTTTTTTTAGTCAAGCAATAAAACCACAAGGATTTGTTTGGAGATAGTATCTATCACCTTTGATCTTTCCTGCACGAGCGAGCTTGTATAGCCCTTTGGGATCTCTTGCTTCACACAATTGTAAGGACATGTTCATGTAAACCTGCAGATACATGGAAGAACATGAATCAGGACGTTGAGTTCTTATCCGATGGGGGGGGAAAACGAAACCAAGAGCAAGGCTCCAAATCGCTTGCCTCGATAAAAGATGAGTCGGGCAGCATGGCCCTGCAAGCTTCTCGGTCTTTTCTGTACGGTGATATGAGGCTGGCAATACAGATCAAACCAGCATCTGCAAAGAGTTTCGCTACTTCTCCTGCATTTTTGGAAACAACAGGTTTATCTACCTTACTTCTTCGTTTATTCGAACTCGAATCCAATGTGTATTTGCATAATATTGTGAAGAATGCGTGATAACGAGCATCAGAAGAAAACTATTAACTGGATAACCAACATAATCTTGAGATAGAATGACAAATGTTACACCATACTTACCGACCCTGCGTATATTTTCCGCTCTGTCTTCAGCCTTGAAACCAAGATCTTTGTTCAATCCGTGACGCAGGTTATCACCGTCAAGGATATATGACAGCTTTCCCCTGGAGTAAAGCTCTCTACTAAGCGAGCAGGCTAATGTGCTTTTACCTGCGCAAAGTTTGGAGCTTTGAGTCAGGCGATCTATTTCAACATTGCAGAGAAGGTGAATATCGTTTCTATACAGAATGGACTCAGTTTCTAGCATTCGAATAAACTTGAATGGTTTGGTTATAGGTAGAAGCCATTTACACAAGAAGGTTAGAGGACCAGACAATGCAAGATCTCTGTCGCAAGGCAGACAATATCTGATTAAGAATAAGGTCTTTGGCTGTTACAGTATGATCAGAAACCATTGTAGAGGATTCAGAATATGAACCTGAGCCACTGAGGCCTGTAATCCATACAACGCAACCCTTCTGGTTCAGCATGAAAGAATCATTGACAAAGATTATTTTTTATTTCAATCTGCATTAGATTCTCTTAGTAATTCACAAACCCACGATTCCTCGATTGAAACCCAGGATCCAATATGAACGCAGCCAACAAATTCAACTCAAATAATCCAACTGTCGACATCCTCAAACTCCTACCCGTTGCTCTGATCTATCGCCAAAAACTCGACAAACAGACCACCAGGGGCACATCCAATCTGGAGAGCCATACAAAACACATAAACATGAACAGTGATATTCAGAACCCATTGAAGGTATAAGGCTTAACTCCAAGACACCACTTCTGTTTCCAGAAAGTAGGACGAAAAGAAAGCATTTTTGTCACGATTCTTGGTTCTTAAAGGCTAGAGAGAAGCTAATGAATCGGAAAAAAAAAGAACGTATGGTAATTCTGACACAGAATTCCAATAGATAAACCCTTACGCCACGTTTTTCACAAAACTGAAAGATCTGACGAAAGCAAATTCCTTTTCAAGATAACCCATAGCCCGAACCAGATAAAATAATGGATGAGCATCTACCCTTTAGACTCATGATTCAGAAATTGCTTAGCTTTCATACAATTCCCTCGAAACCCATGAAGAGAAATCACAAGAAAAGACAATTGGTACAGCAAAAGAGAACAAAAAAAGAAAAGAAAATGGGATTATCCACGGCGTTACACATGAAACCCTAGAAGATTGAAGTTCAGATCACAATTTACCTTGAGCAATGTGAGAAAACGTTTCTCTGAGATCGTTTTTCCTTTCTTTTTGTGGTATGATTTTCTGGGTAGCATTGTGCCTGGGAAAATGGAACCGACATTAATGGAGTGATAAGACACTTGGTCGGAGGGAAAAGGGTGATAGCAATCATGGACTGAGCCCTTCAGACATCACTTCCGACGATAACGTGATTTTTTTTATGACAACGATGTGTGATTTTTTTCATTAAAAAAAGTAACAATTTATTTATTTATGTGAAATTACCGCAATACCACATGATTAGTTAATTAGTAGAAAACAGAACAACTCTAACCCCCTCCCCCCCGTGACGTTAACACTCCTCCGTCACAGTCCCTTGGAAGAACGAGAGAGAGAGAGGAGTGAATGTGTGGGAGTCAATGCGTGAGAAGGGAAAATGATGCAGGCTCACCTCCTGGTGGGACCCATCCCGATCAACGGCTACCGTAGCTTCTCCTCCGCCTTCGCCGGCGATCTCCTCAGCTGCGATGGAGGATCTCCGTGTCACCGGAGTCGCTGGAAGACTACGGTTACGGCCGCCGCG